TCATGTTGGGGGTGCCCTGGGGTGACCTGAGCACTCTGCCAGTAAAAACAGGCTCCCGAACTCCGTTTTCGGCTGCAATGGCCTCCTGCAACCTTCTGCTAGTAAAAACAGAGCTCAGGAGGGCCAGGTCTGAGCACCCCGCAGATCTGGGCCACAGGCCTTGAGTTTGACACCCCTGGTCTACAAGGATAACCAATATAGGAAGTTCAGAGTATTCCAGGCTTGGCTTAGACTAAAATAGAGATCAGCAGGTTTATAGAGTTAGATAGGAATTAAGAACCAATGTAGTTTGTTGGCTATGGTTGAGTATATATTATGAATAAAGCTGTTATGATTTAGCCTAAAGGATAAATCCAGCATTTCACCTGGTTCACATATTGCACTAAACCATGATTTGCTTATGTATAGTTTGTTTAAAAAAACACAATTTGCTGTGTCTCCACAATACATTTAAAACCACTGTGAGAAGATTCATGCATTCTGTCTGTGTTTTTTTCTGGCAGGCTTTACTAAGTCTTGTTTGCTAAGTATCCATTTTTAATCTATCAAATGTGATGAAATATGATCACGGCGCAAGGTTAAGAATGGCTGAAAACCAATTCAAAGTTGAAACATTAAAGATTCAGGGTTCAGACTTTCTGTTTTCCAACTTCTGCTGAAAAATATGCTTAATTCGCTGATGCTTCCTGGTTTACTTTTGGTAACTTTTGCACTGTTGGTTAATAATCTTGAAAAGCAAAGAAGAGTTATGAACAGAAACAGGAGGTTTCAAAAAACGTCAAGATGGCAGGCATAATTTTGCAATCAAAGCTCTACCTCTTTTTTCACACAGAGAGAAGGTCTGGTTATAGTAATATTTCCAAGCAATGCTCCATCCTACAAGGATGCTTGGGCAGGTTCCTTTTAACACTCCTGTAAAGGTAAAGGTTTTCCCTGTCACATCGTATCTGCTTATGGGGCAGTGATCATTCTCCGTTTCCTAACCCAGGGAGACAGCATTATCCAAAGACAATTCCATAGTAATGTGGCCAACATGATTATATGCTGAGGTGCATGGAAAGCTGTTACCTTTCCACCAAAGTGGTACCTATTTATCTACTCACATTTGCATGCTTTCAAACTCTTAGTTGGGCAGAAGCTAGGACAAGTGACAGGAGCTCACCCAATTGAACAGTGCTCAGGTCTTGAACCCAGGCTGTCGGTGTCTGCATTTCCTGTGTTGGATGAGGAGAGCACATCTTTCTCCTTCTATCCTGGCCACTTTTTACAGAAGCATGATTGAGAGTGTTTTAACAAATTGCATCACTGTTTGGTTTGGTGGCAGCAGTGCCTCAGATAGAAAGTCCATTCAGAGAGTGGTAAGGACAGCCGAGAAGTTTATAGGAAGCTCACTTCCTGTCATTCAAGATACTGCTTATAAGCACTATGTGCTTAGAGCTCAAAGCATTGTTAGAGACCCCACACACCCACTTTACCTTCTGTTTCTGTTTCTGTTGCTCCCCTCTGGAAGAAGGTTTCTAAGTATTTCTAGCAGAACTACCTGATTCTCTAACAGCTTTGTTCCCTATACCATCCGTCTGGTAAAGTTGCAAGATTCGTTTTTCTCGCCATGTACATGTATACATCTGAACTAGATCGTGTTATTTCTCTGTGTCATATAATATCTGTGGGTATATGCATAATTTTTATTTATTTATTTAATCATTTTTAAGTAACGTATATTGGAGGTGGTGACACTTTGAGAGCTGTATGCAATGAAATTTCATTTTAATGTATGCCGATTAGTGTACAAAGTGACAATAAATTATTCTATTCTGTTCTGTTCTGTTCCCTAATCTAATTTAAATAATTTAATCATCATTATGATCATCATCTAAATTTATGGGCACTCCTCTAATGCCCCCAAATTTAGATCAAATCCTACAAGAGCCAAAATGTCCAACCAATATAAGCAAAATAATAATTAAAAAAATATTCAAATCTACGTCCTGGAAAATGTGCTCCCTTTGTAAAATGCTGAAGTCTTTTCTGCAAGTGTGCTTGACATTTCTGGAACAATAATTTGGAGCCACAATGATAACATCAAATCAATAGCAATTAGAGTCAACAGATTCTCAAACAGGATCCAAAACATAATGCATAAAAATGGCTTCAAATCAATCTTTAAAAAGAAAGGGATATCTTGTTTTTCAGACAGTCCTCTGTTAATCTTACCCACACACCCCCACCGCCATCATGCAACCTTCCAAAATTGCTGTTATGAGTGATTTTCTTGATTCCAATTAGCCCTGACCTTTTTTGTTACTGATTGCAATTTTTTTTAATTACCTATCACTTTGGGGATGCATTGATTTCTGTAGGAAAGGCAAAATGAATTAATTCCACTACAATGCTAGGAAGAGGAGAGAATGATTATGTATTTCAGCACATATATTCTAATTGTCCCTTCCCTAGCCACTCCTAGGCCAAATAATATAGTACAATTGAAGGGTGACATGCTCCATAAGCTCCAGTTTCTGTTATGACATCTGTAGATGCTTCTCAGAGCTTACAGGTTGGGGATTTTCTTCAACTCTCTCTGTCATTATTTTTCACATGTCGCCTCATATGGGGCCTATGAACTGGAACAGATAAAATGCTGCTTCTCTTATTGATAAGCAACCCAGAGTTGTGTCCTCCTTTTAAACACCGCAGAATTTCAGGGCTTGTCGGTGGAGGGAAAAAGCCAATGCATATGCAGCTTTCCCAGTTAGCTCTCCCTCCACCAGCGAGCTAATGAAGTGTAAGTTCCGCTTTGTTGGAAGGTTGTCTTCTCTGATTCAAAGCCACAGTCTTATGGACTCACTGCCTAAGTGAGCAGGCAAATATCTGCAAACTCATCTGGTGAGCACTATGTGAAAAGTGGGCACCTCTCGTTTTTTTAGCTGCAAGTATTTTCAGTTCATAAGTGGCACTTTCCCCTCAACTGACAGGACTGTTCATCAAAGCCGATGGCAGCAAAACCCATCAAAGTTTGGAGTTCTCTGGCTGCTTAGAGAACAGAAATCATTCCGTACTGTGGAAGAGGATTTGCTTGAGTTTAACTGGTTGATTAATGACAAATTAATAGTACTGATATGGCTGAATAGTCTAAAGGCGCTAAAGTAATCCCACAAATCGATCAATGATCAATAATAGCCATTGTTTTCCAAAGAAAAGAGACTTTGCCCAGCCAAATATTTTAGCATTAGCTACTGAATGGATATTTTTTGGAGAGAAAAAAATGGGGGAAGCCCAACTGAATTCCAATGACTGATGCTTTTCTTGACTGTCAGGAAGTTACTAATACAGTCTGCAAACAAAACTATCACATGGGATAGCTTTTCTGCATATATGCATGTAATTTTTTTTAAAAAAATGAGTGCAAGAGAGATTTAGGTTCAGTAAGAGAAGATTATTTCAGTTCAAAAGTTCTATTTTATCTGTATATCTGTTCATATGTTCATAATGTGTGGTCCAAATTTTACCCAGTCATTTTGATACTATAGATGCAGATTGGGTATTTCTTCGCCTACCATCTCACCCCCTCCCTTTCTCCCTAGACAATAATGTAGAAACAGAACATGAAAACATAGAACAAAAATTTAAGGTAAGTGATACTTTATAAAGGCCATATGTACCTCCTAGTTTTCAGGCTGCAATTTGATGCTGTTTTTGATAAGTTTATGCAGCGCATCATAAGCCATTATGCCCATTACCCCTAGCCAGCACAAAACAAGTTGTCTCTGCTATTGGTGGGGATTGTAGATCACAGACTTGGGGACAGCTAGCATAATAAGTGCTGGCCTAGAATCCATGAGACAGTGAGTTCTAGTCCCACCTTAGCCATGAAAGCCAGCTGGGTGGCTTTGGGCCATTCACTCTTTCTCTCTTGGCCCAAAATTACTTCATAGGATTGTTGTTGTGGAAAGAATAGGAGGAAGAAAGAGTAGTTGGCATATTTGCTGCCCCAAGTTACTTATAAAAATGTAATAAAGGCAGGATTTTTAAAAAATCTAATAAAATACTTGGATGTGTTTGGTCTAAATTGGTGGCTGTGATTTCACATGTTTGTGTATATAATAGCAATAGCACTTAGACTTATAAACCCTTTCACGGTGCTTTACAGCCCTCTCTAAGCAGTTTACAGAGTCAGCATACTGCCCCCAACAATCTGGGTCTTCATTTTATCCACCTCGGAAGGATGGAAGGCTGAGTCAACCTTCAGCTGGTAAGAATCGAACTGCCAAACTGCTAGCAGCCGGCAGTCAGCAGAAGTAGCCTGCAAGACTGCATTCTAACCACTGCGCCACCACGGCTCATAATTAATCCCGCCTCCTACTTTCCCACACATGAGAAGGTGGCAGCATTGAAGCTTTGGAAGCTAATATGGCTTCCAAAGCTGACAATTATACTATTACACATCCATCTCAATGAACCAAATGCCAATTGGATTTGAAATTGAATTTGAAATTTTTATCTCAATAGAAGAAAATATCTGGAGCTCGAGGTAGAACTGTGACGATCTTGATGCTCTCTGATCTTAGTTGTTTGCTTGCAGAGGTTTCAACTAAATAACAAGAAGTTTTATAACTAAGTTCATTACCAAGGATTGGACAACTTGTTATCTAAAATGTAGAATAGCTGCTACATATCCCCCCTCCCACCCCTGCTTAATGGGGAGTAGGAGAGTTACCCCTCAACCCCCACCTTTCCATCTAGATTAGGAGCTCTCATCTACTGTTGAAACAGATATTTTGAAACAAATATTTTGTTAAAGGTTTTCTAATAGCTTCAAATACCTTATCTGGAGGTTGAGTCATGGCAACTGGATTTATTTTTTCTTTTCGGTTTGAAGCATTTCTCTGCTTATCCAAATAACTTCAAGGATGTGTAGTCCTTGACTTACAACTGTTTGTTTAGTGACCACTCAAAGTTACAATGGCATTGAAAAAAATTACTTATGATCATTTAGCACTTACTTACAACCGTTGCAGCATCCCCATGGTCACCCGATCAAAATTCCAGATGCTTGGCAACTGGTTCATATTTATGATGCTTGCTGTGTCCCGGGGTCATGTGATCACCTTTTGCAGCTTCCTGACAAGCAAAGGCAAAGATTCACTTCACAACCGTGTTGCTAATTTAACAACTGCAGTGATTCACTTAACAACTGTGGCAAGAAACGTCGTAAAATGGGGCAAAACTCAACACACGTCTCACTTAACGACAGAAACTTCGGGCTCAGTTGTGGTCGTAAGTCAAGGACTACCTGTACCTCCTTTCTTAGCACTCAACTTCACTTCTCCTTTGATAAGTGCATGTTTTCAATATAATTGGGACCTATTCTGGCTTCTGCCAACTGAGTGGTATGGAATTAGGTCCAGCATTTGCAGCTAAGTTTTGTTTTGTGCCTTTCGTGCATCCTATGGTTACTCTCCTTTGAATAATACAGCAGAAGCGGGCTGTTTTAATCCTGAAGCCTGATGGCTGGAAAGCCTGTTTGCCTTATGGCTAGACTCAAGCTTGGAGAAAAGTAAAGAAAGAATCCATTGTCTTAAATGACACATCCAGCAGAGAGGACTGCTGCATAAATAATGCCCCAGGCAGAGCCTCCGGAAGGGAAAACAGTCTTTGCTCTATAATCTGAATTTTATGGAGTTTAGTTTAACACCATTTGCAAAACCTTTATGGCCCGGCCCACCACTCCCTTTAAGGATGGGGGCCTAAGAGGATTTATCTTTACTTAAAAAGCATCCGATTTTTCTCAAGGGGGGGGAGGGTGATTTTTAATGGTATCTTCCTACACCAGCATTCAAAGTGAACAAAGAGGGCAGTAGGAAGGACACTGGGCTTTGCCCATTGTTTATGTCAGTAATATGACTACTGTGACTGCTGTGGCTATTATGAACAGACATGCTAAAAACAGTTTAATTTCCACATTCTTCACAGTGAGTAATGCTTCTCACCATGCCCAAGTGCTAGACAGCACTAAAGAAAAGAGGTAACAATGATTCTTTTTAAACGTCCTAATTATCGCTTTAAATTTTGGTTCCCATTGTTGGATTTGCATCTTGAGAATTGGGTAGCCCTCCAGCATCCCCTAAATACCCACCCTCTTAGAAGTCCCCCATTGTTGCCAACTGGCTCACTTCTTTGGTAGTTCCAGCTGAATACAGTCCAGCTGTCATTGGCAAAGCTTTAAAGCAAAGCTGGTCTTAGCAGATGGCAGCCTCTAGCTGATCTTGGAAGCTAAGCAGGGTTTCTCCTGAATTAGTACTTGGATGAGGGTCCATCTAGGAATTCCAAGGCTGTAGGCTATTCAGACAGGAAAAATAGCCCAGAAGAAGCTGCCAGGAAAAAAACTGTGTGTGCAGTAAATGAAAGTCAACCAGAAAAAGGCAGATACGAATTAGGATTAGCTTCCAAGAGAATCCATGTCCTAATTTTAGTGGGCCTGGCTTTAGTGAGCTACACCTCCTTCTGTGGTAATCAGATTTGAGGTAGCTGTCTAAAGGAAACCTTCCCTAGACATTGTCTATGTTTATACATCTTGCTGAGCCATAATAGGCTTTGTTTGGTTTAATGTGTCGTATAAATGTGGCCCATGATGAGATTAAATCAAATTGTATGTTTTAGGATGCTAAAACAAAATCTTTATAATAAAAACTGTGTTTTAGCATAACATGTGTATCCAAACATTCTGTACAGCATTAACCATGTAGATCTGTTTCTCCTTCAAAAGCACCTAGCAATAATATCGACCTAAACTGAAAAAAATATTCTCATAAACCAAACTCATATGATCCTGGCTTATTTTCTTCAGTTGTTGAGTTAAATTAAGACAGAATTTTCCACTACGGGTATCATCTACTATAATCATGATCTTTGATGGGGACTGACATGCGTCAAATAGAAAGAAAGGGTGTGGTAGGAACCCTGAGAATTGACATTTATTTACAAAAGCTATCATGTACGTGACCCCCACGACCTCAGTCACATTTTCTTTTATCAGATGGGATAAACCAGTCTAAAAAAAATTATCAAATCCCGGTTGATTGACGTTTTACATGCAGAAAGTTGACACTTCTGAGTTAGAAGTTGATTCAATACCAAGCAATCATCCGGTGGCTTTCTTCTGGATAAGCATCTCATTCTACACAGGATTTCCAGCCGTGTTAATCAACAACATTTTGACCTATGAAAAACAATTTCTATGTCCCACAAGATCCTCCTAGGCTTTTTAACCAAGAAATAGACAACCTTTAAGAAATAAGGTCATTTTTCCCCCATTGGGGAGTATTGGGGAAGACTGGCATTTTTCAGGATTCTTTTTACTTATTATTAAGAATGTAAGGACTTCTCAAAAGTTGATATATGCATTTTGCTGGGGGAGGGGGTTGTTGACAGCTAGCAGGAAATGATGCTTTCCAACAGGGGTATAGAGAAGGGTCGAGCTACCTATGGTTGTGAAAGTTGAACTTAAAAAAGCAAGACAGAAAGAAAATCAACTTGTTTGAGCTGTGGTTTTTGGAGAAGGCTCCTGCGTATCCCTTGCAAAGGCAACTAACAAACAAGGACCGGAACGCATAACATGAGACATGTCACTGGAAGGCAAAATCACAAAACTGTATCTCGCTTATTTTGGCCCTGCCATGTGGGGGAATTCACTGGAGAAAGCAATTATGCTTGAAAGAGTTCATGTAGAAGGAAACCAGTCCACCAAAGAACATGGTGTCTGGATACCATCAAAGCTAACACCAGCCAGCGCACAGAACAACTCAGACAAGTAGTACAAGATCAGAAGATGTGGAGAGACTTGGCTCACAGAATCGCCAAGAGTCAAACACAGCTAAATGGATAACATAATCAATAAGGAATTTAACATGTCACCTGCAGACCTTGAATTGCCCAGAGCAGGTTGAGACTACAGCAGGGGTGAAATCCAGCAGGTTCTGACAGGTTCTGGAAAACCGGTAGTGGGAATTTTGAGTAGTTTGCAGAACCGGCAAATACCACCTCTGGCTGGCCCAAGAGTGGGGTGGGAATGGAGATCTTGCAATATCCTTCCCCCAAGAGTGGGGAGGGAATGGGGATTTTGCAGTATCCTTCCCCCAGGAGTGGAGAGGGAATGGGGATTTTGCAGTATCCTTCCCCCAGGAGTGGGGAGGGAATGGGGATTTTGCAGTATACTTCCCCTGCCACGCCCACCAAGCCATGCCCACCAAGCCACACCACGCCCACCAAGTCACGCCCTCAGAACCGGTAGTAAAAAATTTGAATTTCACCACAGGACTACAGGCTATTCAGATCAACCAGTGGGTTACAAAAAGTAGGGTCAGGTAGGCAGGCACAGAATCCCAAACCAGTTTCATTAACTGTAGGTTACATCCTGCAACAGTGCCTTTAACCCCATTGAACTTCCGTATCTTCCTATCCCAGGCCATTAGGAAGGGCTCAATAAAAATGTCAAATCCAGTCCAAATATCTGACTGACTATGCAATCATAACCATAATAATAAATATCATAGCTGATAAACTGTGATCCATTATTGGCACAGCTATTAGAAGCAGTGGCTTCATTTTGCCTAATAGGTAGGCCATCTAGCACATAAATCTTAACCTAATAATACTGCCGAGATAGGAATCTTTCAGAAGAAGCTTAATTCTTGCCAATATTTTTAAAGGGTCTTTAAAGAGGTAGGTTTATCAAATAGAACAAAGTCTGCCACAAGCATGTCCCAAAAATGGATACACATCAAATTACAGTGAGAGCTGTATATGTGAAAATTTAATGCTGCAAGAACAGAAAAATGCTAACTGGTAAATAAGTATCAAGTAAAAAAAAAAACCCCATGATACCTACTTGGTGGTACAGCTTGCCATGATTTCAGCTTGTGTTTCAGTGAGTTTAAAGTTCTGCCGAAGAGCTTTTCCACAGACTTCCTTCTAGACTCCAATTGTAAGCTGCCTACAGTTGAAGTGGGTTTAAGGACTCCCTTTCTGGCTATCAACCCCTTTGCCACTTTGGCCACAGTGACGACCAAGTGTTCTGCCTGGATCAGGATTAACCCACCACCTTATTGGTAAAATCCCCTGCTCCTATAGTGCCCACTCAGGCCAGGCAGGCAAGTACCAATTGCTCTCTCTTTCTGCAGACAGGCCTTTGAGGACATGCTAGGCATTTATGGGAGGGAGGGAGGGAGGGAGGAAGGAAGGAAGGAAGGAAGGAAGGAAGGAATTTCACTTTTCTGTTTAAGAAAAAACATCAGCACGTGTTTCACCAGTCTGGCAATCTAGCTTTCTCCATTACAGTTTTTGGCTTCTTTTCTGTTGAAGATAAATTCCCAGGGCTTTAAACATTCTGCAAGCTGGCAGGCAAATGGAGCAGAAATAAGAGGCAGAAGTGGCCACAGAAAAACTAAAAAGAAAATATGAAATTTCTTTACTGGACCACCGGTGAAATTTTTAGATAGATAGATAGATAGATAGATAGATAGATAGATAGATAGATAGATAGATAGATAGATAGATAGATAGATAGAGAGAGAGAGAGAGAGAGATAGAGAGATATAGATATAGATAGAGATAGAGATATAGATAGAGATAGAGATAGAGATATAGATATAGATATAGATATAGATATAGATATATATGTTCTGGTTATTCCACCAGCCTAGACCAAAATGGTAGTGGAGAGCAGTGAGTGGTGACTAGAAAGAAGAGGCATTCCTTCCACTGTGCAGTTCAGCCAAGTGGATACAGTTCTTTGCCAAAAGTGAAATGAAGCACTGCGACATTGTGCACTTCATCTTTCAAGAAATAATTAGTGTCCCATTCGGTCATTAACACCACCTTATCCTGATCCACCCCAGTTTAGAATAGCCATCTAAACTGATTTGGTCCGTTTAAAATGAAGAGTATAGCAACTCCATTGACCTAGTACAGTTTGGGCAATACAGGTCAAAGGAAGCCTTCTGTTTCATACTTGTTTCTTTGGTGCACATACCGGTAAAATGTGGAGAGATTTGTCCCATAGAAATGGAGTTTGCCCTAGTTCAGATTGAAATAAGCAGATCACGGGAGGAGACATTCAAATATTACTGAGTTGGAATATTTTAGCAGGGAGAAACGGATCCCGGTTCCTTCATAGTGTGAGGAAACCGGTTAGAAATTAAAGAAAGTGTTCGGTTGCAGTCATTGCAGCTAAAAGCGATGCAACCAGTTACTGAATATAAGGGGGTAATTACTTTTTCACACCGGTACGTCACAAGTTGTGTGATTTTGTTTATGGAATAAAACAAGTTCCCGAGTTTGGTGGCGTCTGTTTGTTTGCCCTCCCTTTCTGTTTCAGTGGGATCCACATGAAGCTCTGATAACATCTCAGCAGCAAAGATGCAAAAACGCCGGAAAAATCACTTCCCCGGGGTGCAACTGCAATAGATTTCTGCAATTATTGGGGAATTAGATAATTCTACCTTTGAGATTCCCTTCTTCCCTCGGTAATGTTATCTGTATGCAGTGCTGTGTGTTGATGCACACCCTTCCTTGTACAAACTATACCCAAAAGACAAAATCAGCATGCCAAAGAAATGTTCTGTAGGTCACTTGAGGCTCCCCCCCCCCTTTATACTTCTTGTTGTTGTTGTTTTTACTTGTATGAGTGATGTACTCTTAAGGATAATGGTTGCTTCACGTACAGGAAAAGATTCCTCAAGCCCCAGCCTTGCAGTCAAAAGCAGACAAGCCCAGAGAAATCAATTGGCCTTTATCGTCCAAATAAATGAGTTCACTGCAAGGCTACTGAAGTTCAGGTCACCAGACTGTGTGTTTCCATTCGTTTCAAAGAGGATTTTAAAAGATTGTACACTGAATCCCTACAGTATCTGGAAATGAAAGGATTTGAAGCAAACTAAACCATGTCAGGAAAGAACATCCTTGATCTTGGTTCTCCTACAGCAATTCCCCCCCCCCCGCTTATCCGAGAGGAGGCCATTATATCCGATAACCTAGGACACGACTGAAGTACCTAACAAAAAGATTTCTGCTGCCCTAAAGTGTTTTACTGCTCGTCTTCATCCTTTGAAGAATTAAGGGCAGGAGAGAATGGCAGAAGAATATAAATCCAAAGCTAGTACAGCAAAGGTGACAAAGTTTAAAATCCAGTCCTGAAAAAGGATTATGGCAGAAGAATCATTCATTTCTCCACCCTTATTAAAAGTAACAAGCTTCTTGGATCTCGTGAAAGTGCATTTAATTGGGCAAAAGGAGGACATTTTACAAATGTCAATATAGGCGAAGGGAGGAAAAGGAAAGGAATCTTAACTTTAACCCACTTACTAACGCTAAGCAAATCTGAAGGACCTTTAAGCAAATATTGAAAACAAATGTATAGCATTTTCCACATGGAAATGTTGCTGTTTTTTGGAGGGAGATTAATTAAGAGTGTTTAATTGTATTAGGACAAAAGAAAGTTTTTTTCCATCTAACCCAAATGAATTTAGCTTAAAATGCAATTTAATTTTGGCCAGGCTATGCCTGCTGTGTCCTTAGAGCAAAAAATATTGTTGAAATAAGAGTCCAGGACAGCAGAACTAAGTGATGTCAGTACTAAAATACACTAAGCAGTTCTACTTTCTGGAAAAAAAAATAAAAAAATAGTGGCTATTGTGCAAGAGCCCCAGTACTCTTAACAACTAATCTCTCCTGCACTATTATCTGATAGTGCCCTTTCATCTTCTTTAGGCTCCAGCAAGAACATCCAACAGTAAGATGAGTGAAACTTGCAACTGTAAATGCCCAGAGTCAGTGTACTTCTGCAAAGATAAAAATTCTTTACAGGTCAAGATAGATTTTTTCCTCCCGCTTTTGACCCTAAACATACAGAAATGAATTAGCTAGACAGCTTTTAAAGCTGTTGGCAGAAGATAACCATTAGCTCAATTGAAGGGCAAGCTTTAGAAAGGAAACTGGGCTGCTTGTTACTGGAAAGGGCCTGATTCATTAATGGTTCTGTAGGCCCCATTGTGAGGATGGAAGGTCTCAGCCAAGCTCCCGTTTACCGCTTCTGATAATGTAAGGAGTGCTAAGGGAACAAGTGGACAGGCAGGGAGCATGATCTCCAAAGGCATCCAATTGTTGTTATTTTTCCAAACTTTTAAACTCTCGTAAATATATCCTGCCTTCTCAGCACTCTTGCTCTCACTTCTTCTACGCACCAAAAATTCACACCAGCGTGAAACACTGTCTAGTGCCTGCAGGAGGTGAGATTTTTTTCAGTTTCTCACTGCCAGACAGGTTGGCAGATTGTTTAATTTTAATTTGGGAAGTTGTAAGGTGTGTGAATGCAACAGCTAAATCCAGAGCAAGCAGAAGACAAAACTGGAAGATGCACTGAACAGCCTAAGCCGTGGGCTGCTAACGAGGTCATCGAAGCTACGCCAGCTCATCAAGTTAAGTACAGGTGGTCCTCAACTTATATCCACAATTGAGCCCAAAAATTTCTGTTGCTAAGTGAGACAGTTGTTAAGTGAGTTTTGCACCATTTTACAATCTTGCTACAGTTGTTAAGTGAATCTCTGCAATTATTAAGTTAGGGGTTGTTCAGTGAATCTTGCTTCCCCTTTGACTTTGCTCATCGGAAGTTTGTAAAAGGAGATCACGTGTCCCCAGGACACTGCAATCATCATAAATACCTGCCAATTGCCAAGCGTCTGAATTTTGACCATGTGACCATGGGGATGCCACAAGAGTCATGTGTGAAAAATGGTCATAAGCAGGGGTGGGTTCTACTTACCTTTACTACCGGTTTGCAGCGGGGCCGCACACTCTTCTGCGCAACACAGAAGCTTCTGCACATGCGCAGAAGCATTTTGATGATGTTGGGATTGGTGGGCAGAGCCTCCCGCCGGTTTTACTACCGGTTCTATAGAACCGGTGCGAACCAGGGGCAACCTACCACTGGTCATAAGTCACTATTTTCAGTGCCTATGTAACTATGAACAATCACTAAATGACCTGTTGTAAATTGAGGATTACCAAGTCCTTATGATAGCCATGGTTCTTCTAAGCCAGTGATGGCTAACCTTTTCTGGACTGAGTACTCGAACCCCCAAAATGCAATGCACGTGCAGCCCTCTCTCATGCACACACACCCGTGCATGCTCCTGGGCCCCATGCACACCCAATCTCCCCATGCACATGTGTGCGCGACCCTGCACCCCCCACCCCCCTGCACTTGTACACGTGGGGGCCCCCGCACGCCTCCCGCACATGCGTGGCAGAGACCCAACGACCAGCACAGCAGAGTTGAACTGGGGCGACGGCTTGTGTCCAACACAGAGAGGGCGCTGCGTGCCACCTGTGGCACGCGTGTCATAGGTTCATCCTCATGGTTCTAAAACTTGCTTCATATATCTGTATAAAAACAGATGGAGAAAGATTTTTTTAAAAAAAAGAGGAGCAAAGAAGGCAGAATGTAGAAATTTCAAGTCAGCTGGTTGCATTACACCTGTAATCCATTGGATTTTCAATAGATGATTATGCTTTCTGGGCGATTGGCAATTCAAGTGCAGGAATTAATATTATTGGCTCATGCATAGTTGGGTGAGAAATAATGCCATGAGAACCGCTAAGGCCTCAGTGGCATAATTAGACTGTATAGATATAAGCCTTCTAGCATGTCATTTAATGAGTTTGACGAGGCATGTAGTAATAAAAACTGAGGTATGTGGTAATAAACCTCAGATGACAGCATGGCCTTCCCCACAGAAGGAATCTGTGCAGTAGTGCCTTGCTAATGAGGAGGTTTTAAAAAATAAATGTGTGCTTAAATATTAAAAAGAAAAGCTAAGAACTATTTCATCACATCTCAAAAGAAAGCAACCAGGAGGCTATATTAAGTCGGGCTGCTTGTGAGAGATAAGGGGCAGTTGGCTAGCCTCAACCTCAGCAACACTACAATACTGCAACAATGTATGGACTTCAACTCCCAGAATTCCCCCTGCCACATGCCATAAAGTTGCTCAGGTTGAGAAACACTGGGCTAGAACCCCCAGACAGCAAAAAGCATGCTAAGCTGCCACACAGCCCATGCCAACCCATGCCAAT